GTGGGGGTGCTTAGCAAAAGTCAAAATACCTGAGAATAAAAGAAAGAAGATTGGCCCTAAAACTGTAGATGGAATTTTTATTGGCTATGCTTCTGATAGTAATGCAAATAGATTTTTAATAATCAACTCTGACATTAATGAGATAGCCAACAACACCATAATTGAAGCTAGGGATGCACATTACTTTGAAAATATTTTTCCTTACAAGACCAGAATAAACAACACAGGCCCTAGCTCTAATAATTCAGATCCTAGTTCTAATCAAGGTGAAACTAGTTCTAAACAAATTAGACCACTAGAAAGTCCAGAGGAGCCTAGGAGAAGTAAAAGAACTAGAATAGAAAAGGTCCATGAAGATTTCTATGCATTACTTGTAGAAGATTCTCCAGTTACATTTGAAGATGCAATGAAATCAGTAGATGCTCCATTTTGGAAGGAAGCTATAAATAATGAGATACAATCTATAGTTCAAAATCATACTTGGGAACTAACTGATCTTCCTTCAGGATGTAAAACCATAGGATGTAAATGGGTGTTTAAGAAGAAACTTAGACCTGATGGAACAATAGATAAATATAAAGCCAGATTAGTAGCTAAAGGATATACCCAAAAGTCTGGTATTGATTATTTTGATGTCTATTCTCCAGTAGCTAGGATTACTACCATTAGAGTCCTCATAGCTCTAGCATCCATTCACAAATTAATAATACATCAAATGGATGTTAAAACTGCATTTTTAAATGGAGACTTAGATGAAGAAATTTATATGGATCAACCTGAGGGATTTATAGCTTCTGGACAAGAAAAGAAAGTATGCAAGCTTATTAGATCACTATATGGTCTCAAACAAGCCCCAAAACAATGGCATATGAAATTTGATGAAATTATACTATCTTATGGATTTGTAATTAATCAAACAGATGAGTGTGTATATCATAAAATAGATAAAAACAACAAAATTGTGATATTATGCCTATATGTTGATGACATTCTTATTTTTGGTTCTGACATACAAATCATAAATGATATCAAACACTTTTTATCACAAAATTTTGACATGAAAGATTTAGGTCAAGCTGACCTAATTCTTAATACTAAAATCATGAAAAATGAGAATGGATATGTGCTATCACAATCACACTACATAGAGAAAATCCTTAAGAATTTTTATGATCCAAACTGTCAACCTGTTTCCACTCCATATGATCCTAATGTACATCTAAAGAAAAATACAGGTCATCCTCAATTACAAAGAGAATATGCACAAATAATTGGATCACTAGGATTCCTAACAAACTACACCAGACCTGACATTGCTTATGCAGTAAATAGACTTAGTAGATATACATCAAATCCTGATAAGAGTCACTGGGATGCTCTAGAAAGAGTTTTGAGATACCTAAAAGGAACTATGAATTATGGTTTACACTATAAAGGTTATCCATCTGTACTAGAAGGTTATTCAGATGCAAATTGGATTAGTGACTCAGTAGATGTAAAATCCACCACAGGATTTGTGTTCCTTTTAGGAGGAGGAGCTGTGTCCTGGAAATCTACTAAACAAACTGTAATGGCTAGAAGTACAATGGAATCAGAAATGATAGCTCTTGATACTACTAGTATAGAAGCTGAATGGTTGAAAGATTTACTAACTGAAATTCCACTAATGCAAAAACCATTACCAGCCATTTCTATTCATTGTGATTGCAGGTCAGCGATTGACAAATGCCATCAAGAGAATGCAAATGTGAAGATGAATCGACACTTGAAAGTGCGACATAAATCCTTGAGATATAAGATGAAAAACCATATAATAGCCTTAGATTTTGTAAGATCAGAGAAAAATCTTGCAGATCACTTAACTAAAGGCTTATCTAGGGCAGTGGTCCTAGAATCATCGAGGGGGATGGGGTTAAGCCCATAAGAAAAATCACTGCAGTGGCAACCCAACCTCGCAGAGGTTCAATGGGTAGAAACAAACTGAATGAGTGATTAATTGTGAGGAGCACTGAATTTATTTGCTCCCATCCCTAGGATGATCAGTGCTCATAAAAAGCAAGTGAAAGGTTGAGTCTAACTCTTAATGAATCCAAGACCCATGAGGCAGGATGCTTACTTGCTCGCATCCTTATTAGGATTCACCTATATGTGTGTAGTTGTGAGGCCGCGACTATGGGATCAGGGCTGCTCCCTAGTAACACACATGAAAGATACCTGCGCAAGGCCGATAATAGCGCAACCCGTTTAGAATTCTTCAAAACTGTACTATGTGTGCTTTCTGTAGAAATCCGATAAATGAGACTGGTTCAAGGCGAAGTCCACCAAGCTCTCACGGATCTATACAACTGTCACTAAGTGAAGGTTCAAACCGAAAGGTACCTCCACCTATTACATAGTATAAGGGAACCAGCAATCTTATTTATTTTTAAGTTTTTATTTTATTCTTATTTCTGAGCTATTTCAAGTTTTAAGTTATGTGGGGGATTGTTGGAGTTATAACTTAAAAACTTGGGTTTATAGAGGAAAAGTTTAGTCCCACATAGGAAATGGAATAGGAAGGAAGAGTCTTTATAAGCCTTCCCTTTCTCTCCTATGCCTAGAAGAAAACAAAAGGTTATGCTCCACACCACACACGCGCGCGCCGGCCGGGCCGGGCTCGGGTTCGGGTCGGGTGGCTCGCGCACACGACCTGCGGACACGAATGCAGCTCCGGATTAATGGGCCCTTAATATGCTAACATTTTTATTTTTATTTTTATTTTTACTAATTGGAACTGTTTAAAACGTGATTAACATTTTTTAAAATGTTTAACGACCAGAATTAATTGGAGAGATTTATGAACTTTAAAACTGAATTAAAACGTAAATGAAACGATAATATTCATGAGAATTAAAACAGAATCAAAACGGAAAAAAAGGTTTTTATGAGGATTTAATTCGGTATTGAAAAACGTTCATTCTCAACCTCTATATAAACAGCTTATATTCCCAACAAATTAAAGAGATCACTTTACCTTTCCAAGTAAAGTAAAATGAAGAGGAGCTCCTCGAGAAGTTAGACTTATGAGAACAAGAAAATCATTCACAAACTACAAGAAATCATTTAGAAATTATTTTAACAATTGCAAAGAAGAATAGCTTTAAAAAAACTATTATAGTCAAATATAAATTAACACTAATCATGAGAAATCAAAATACTTACTTTGTATACTACATGTAAATATTCAAGTTTGTCAACACTGACCATAGTTTTATCATATTACATGTAAGTATTTCACGATAGACTCTAAGAGATTGGTTAGTTCATTTTCTAAGAATTAGTTGCAATTTATATTGGTAAGCAGGAAGACGAATGGTTATAATGTTTTTTATGATTGTAGTAGTGATAATTAATTAGTGAGAATAAAGAAAAGGAGTGTTGGAAATTAATGTGAAAAAGGAATGTGGGAAATTAATGTGTTAATGAGAGGTTATATAAATATAATAAATCTAATTTATGGTGGAGTTATTTGGAGGTTAAGATTTATAGAGTATGAATGCTTTTGATTTAATAACCAATTTTGCCATTAATCATGTTATGTTAATGCTAAGTATGTATATGTCTTCACTGAGACTTCACAAATGTAAGCATGTCTTTATAATAGCATGTATGTGTTTTATTATAAATTGGAGGGCAATTTGGGTAGAAGTATTTTATAATCCCAATCCATTTTTTAATAGTTTTAGTATAGTGCACATGCTTTGCATGAGAGCATACTTATTTTATTTTATGTTTTTAAATTTTTTGTTATTGGCTGTAAAATAATGAAATGACTTGCATAGTAATATAAATTATGAACAATCACAATTTTGTTTAAATGAATAAATTATATGATAAAACTATGTATAAAGAATTGTATGATTAATTATTACAGTTTGGATAATTATTATAATTTATTCATAATTTATTAAAATAATTATCATATATTAAATAATTGCTTCTCTTTTAAATATAATAATATTATATATAGCGTATTTATAATACTATTAGTAACTACATTTGAATTTAATAATTAGTTTATTGTAGTATTAGTAAATAATTTAGTAAATTGTATAATTATTAAGTTAATTTAAAAACACTATTAAAATTATCATACTACTAATATTATTACAATTACAATAAATACAATTATTTTTTATACTATTACCATACTTTTAAGAGGCTAATAAGATGAAAGGTAACATGTAATTCTCCATAAAAGGTGAAATCCAAAGGCACAAGACATGAGCCTAATAATTTTTTTTATTTTTTTATTTTTCTAGAATGTAAATATTAAGTGAAGATAAATTTGGGATAAATTTCAAATTTTCTATGAAATAACATACTTACATAATAAAATAATAGTGTGACTAAATGTTTCAAAAAAGTGAGGAAATGCATAATTAACAAGAGGTTATAGTATAAAATTAATGAATGCAATGGCATATTTGAGAATTATCAAACCTAAAAGGGTAAAAATGAAAATTAAAAGTTTTGACAAGACAATCCTCTTTTATATATGATATAGATATAAGATAGGCCAGGGCGAGTTGCCAAACACACCAAGTGAATGTGAATAAATCTTCTTACCAAATTTCGTTTTTTTTATTTTTGCGACAAGTGAATAAATGTAGATTTTTGAGGTATAAAATTGCCAAATTAACTTCAACTTTGAAACATCACATCAACTTGTCAAACTTAAACTCCAGGGCATCAAAATTAAAAGGGTAACTCACCGCGAGTGATCCGAATGGTTAGAAGGTTCTAATATGGCTCCCATGATGTTAGGTTCAATTCCGGATTGGGTTACTACACAAAAATTTTAAAAGGGTGAAACTCTTAGGTATTAGATTACAAATAACCATAAATATCTCGAAAATCCAAATTAATTAATTCATAAATAAATTACATTTATCTATTTCTATTTTGTTTTATTTTCTAACTGGGGCCGCATGAAAGAGAGAGGCCCACAAGCCCCTACTGCCGACCGAAGAGCAAAAGAGGCTGCATCCAAAACCCAACACCTCCTCGAGGGTTTTACGAACAATCTAAAACAACTTCGCTGATCAAAGAGAATCAAGGGGGGAAGAAGGAGGGCGGTTTTAAAATAAAAATAAAAAATCATGCCTCTGTACGATTGCATGCTGCTGGTGAAGGCGCACGTGACGAAGGAGATGATAACCGATCTTGTTGGCCGTGTGGGGAAGCGAGTGTATCAGAGGAAAGGGGTGATCACTGACATCAAGTCCTTCGGTACCCTCGAGCTCGGATACGGAATCAAGAAGCGCGATGGCAGGCATTTCCAGGTCTGGATCTTGATCTTGATCGAAACCCATTTCGTCGATTTTGTTTGATTTGCGCTGGCGCGTGTTTGTGCTTATCTTGTGTTTGTTGAAATGCCTGACCCAAAATCACAACTTTGAAAAATAACGAATTTGGGCGTGTTTTGGGTATCATGATAAAACTCGGTTAAAATTGAAGTTCGATTCGTATTTATGGTTAATAGGCCCGTGTCATGACAGTTCTCGAACGCCCGTGATGAGGCGATACTACGCAGGCACACATTGTTGTTTAGAGTAAGGAGCTGTTTGTTATGATTGAATTATGCAATATGGATTGACCTAGGTCCCTGTTGTTGTTTGAATAGCGTACTTACTCAAGCCATATTTTTCTATTGGATTTATGATCCAAATTAAACCTTTCTTAGTGATTTTGCATAATAGTAGGGACGAAAACTCACTTGTGAATAATTCTTTTGGGGACTTGTTTGGAGGGAAGTCGTCTATTTGTACTATGATTTTCTTCATATTTTAAGCTTGCGAACATTCTATTTGGTTAGCATGTTTGTGTTGTTCTATGGTTAAATGCATAAAGACTCTTCATTCTCACTTAAAAGACCATGCTAATGTGAATTTTCTATATAATTGACTTATCAGATTTTCTTTTGCAGATTAATCTAAGTTTTCAAACTTTTTAGACACTATAACAAAACCACCAGATAACTTCTTCTTGTTGTTTTTAAACAAATTTTAAAGAATCCTGTAAGCTAGCTTTTTACATCATTCCAAACTGCCCTTCAATCATGGAGAAACATTATTACCTTGCTCACATAGCAATTAAAATGTTCCTAAAAAAGTCATGAAAACACATTGGTTCTTCCTAATATTTCTTGATATTGATTCGCTGCGTTGGCCTGATATGCTTCTAAGGGCTTACTTTGTAGAACATTAAGTTCCTTTTCATTTCAATATCAGTAGAACAATCTTTGCATGTGAATGTTATAGGATTTATTGTTCCTGAAGAATGTGAGTTATTGCATGTCATGTCCCCTATAATGGTATGAGCATGGTGGAATAATGCGTACGTCACACAAAATAACCTATTACACGTCATAGCAAACCCCGCCACAGAGAGTTTGCATTAGTGTAGACAGTAGACACCTTGTGGCACTGCGCCATTCAGTATAAAATATACTATTTCAATATATTGTATGCTATTGCAATATAATGTATTCTATTTCAATACGACTTTAGACTTCATCATTTTTATTTCTGTGGTGGATTAAATTTTCTCAATGTCTGTTTGGCCTTTTGATTGTGTAGGACGATCAATCATGTCTAATTTTTTGGATTAGCAAACATAGACTTTGGAAGGAATGGGAGCCATCTCAATCTCTTTATTGCTTATTAGTAACTTATTATAGCTGCTATTGTTATTTAAAAAATTTATTAAAAAGATTTGGATTTTTTGAAATTATGTTTGTATGTACTAAAATGGATGGTTTTTTAGTTGTTTTAGCGCATGACCTTCACTGTGCATTATGTTATATTGGTCTGTGCGCTTTAAGCTATTGAAAGATTTGAGTGTTATTTTACATGTTATCATTAGTATGACTGGGCTTTAAAAAATGACTTATCACTTAAATCTGGTCTAGGCACCTCGAAATAATTGTTGAGGACACATAACCACTTTTGAGCTGATTATTTGGAGTCCCATTCCGTGTTACAATCAGTCTGTTTAACTAAACTGGTTTGACGTGATTAAACTTGAAGGTAATGCTACTACTGTGCTCTAGGGTCAATTGTGATGCCTTGCTTCCCTATTTCTCTCTCTTGGCTGATCCTATGGTCAACAATCTCCCATATCTGAGTCTTCTCTCTTTTTTTGCATCTCTTAGCACCTCCATTTTTTTAAATTGCTGCTGACCACCTTCAAAACTAAAATAGTGATATTTGACAAACTATGTAGCAAGGACATGGACACAGATGCATTACCTTTATAGGGACTTGAACAGCAGGTAAAATTGAACGCCAACTTCATAAATAGCAGTACACGTACATGATACATATTTGTATATATCTATGTGCATATAGGTATGTGTACTATATATTTATGTGTGTGCTTGTATAAGTGTGCGTAATATGACAATAATAACAAGTATACTGTATATCTTTTATCACAACAAGTCCAATTAAGTTAACTTGATTCAAGTCAAAAGCCACTTTCTCCCTTGGGAGTTGGGATTGTTCATGGCGGGTAATGACAGTTACACTCGTTTATAGAACAGTCTATAGAACAGTCTATCCCATATTGTGTTTGGTCTGCGGAGACTCAAAAAACGGATGGCAAGGGTTATGATTTTTGCTTCATTTTTAACTATTAGTTATCATGTAAACATAATAACATATAACTTAACTGCCATGAATCCATAGATAATTTGAGATAAATACTGTGACTACTGTCTGCCTATGCATTAAGTTTGAAAATTCAATTTTTGGTTGCACATGGCTAAACATGTTACGCTTAGGTTCATTTGTGTCTATGAACTGTTGGTGTCTGACAAGGGTTTGGTAGCCAAAAGGTGTTTGTGCTTTTTAGCTTCATGGGACTATTTGTTCTAGACTGCATAGTGAATGTCTGCATATTGTTCCTGATACGAAGTGTTTAATTGTGAGAGAGAAATCTTGCAAGAAAAATGAAAATACTTGGGGAGACAGTGCCTGTTTTGTCACATCATATAGCGAATCCGTTTATTCTGGGAGTGTTATGGACCATGGTAAGTTGTTGAATTCAGCATTGAGTTCCTTAATGGAGTTTCGGGGAGTAAGAGAGGGTAACAGTTGGGTTGATATAACTGAGACGGTCCCACTGATGAGAGCTGAAATGTGGGAAGCAGATATTTTTTATTGCAGCTACATTTAATTAGATTATAAAGCATTCAATGTGTTAATCTTTTATATATTAGTTCTCTCTTTTGTTTCTGTTGGGATTTTGTCTTTGATTCTTTGTGTAACTTCATGAGAATTAGATAGGGTTAGAGTTCTATCATGATTAGGAGTTTGAGTTCTATCATGATTAGGAGTTTGAATCCTATTCTAATTAGGAAGTTAGGCTAGAGATAGGGTTTTGGTTTTCCTATATAAAATTGTGTTTTATCATGATTAGGAGTTTGAATCCTATTCTAATTAGGAAGTTTGGCTAGAGATAGGGTTTTGGTTTTCCTATATATATTCTTCCATTGGTGGAGGAAAAACCATGAAGAAAAAGTAGAGATGTAGTAGATGAGAGAGAGAGAGGGTTTTGTAGTCCGTGCAAAAGATTACAAGGAGTGGGCTTTGGAGAGAATATGAGAGTTGATTATGTATGTAAGGTTGAGAGATTGAGAGACGAGAGTTGAGTGGTTCCTCTTGTAGTTCTCCCTGATACATAGTGAATTTCTCGTATTGTTGCCCCGTGGACGTAGGTCGAAGTTGGTCGACCGAATCACGTAAATCTCGGTGTTCTTTTTTCTTGATTGTGGTTGTTCTATCTTATTGATTGGGGTTGGCTTTCGAGTTGCGCATATCGTGGTAGGCAGGGAGACTGAAATTCCCCACCAAGTGGTATCAGAGCGAAGATGATGGATCCGCGAGCGAGTTCACAAAATAGAAGACGACGTCGTGTAAGATTGAAAATAAGCATTACAAGAATCAAGATGAAAAGAAAAAAAAAGAAAATTTACTGTAGCAGAACATTGTAGCGCGACGGGCTCTGTTCACGTGGGGATCCGACGGTCCAGATTGATTTGTTAGCCGATTGAGGATTTGGAGGCGGATTTTGGTGATCCATGAGTCATTTCTAGGGTTTTTCGACGTGCTGAATTCGTTTTTGGCATCAGTTTTATCAAATTCAATCACTACAGGGACTGATTTTAATTTTGATTGTGGTTAGAGGATGATGACTTCTTCGGGTCCGACGTTTGATATTCCGCTATTTAACGGCAAGACAAATCTGATGGTAGATAAGGAGCAGGAGTTGGTTGGTGTGTATATTTGAGGAGGACGGTGCCAGATTAGGTGGAGCTTGCAAGCGGACACGACCGAGTGACACACATAGAGATAAAGATGGTGGCGTTGGACTTGAAGATGGTGAGCGCTCATATTCAGTCCAAGCCAAGTGATGGAGGAGATAAAAGCATCCAGTTCGTAGTGTAGAGTAGGAGAGGTGCACCGATATGATTTGAGACGAGCGATGCAGGTGGAGCACAAAGACAACAAGAGAGGTGGAGGCGTCATGACGAAGCAGAAGATAGTGAGGATCACGAAGGCATCCAATTGGGAGTGCATGTGTTCTGATTTGAAGTGCGAAAGAAATAGAAGACTCTAGCGGTAGAGACAAAGTTTCAAGACGACGATGATATATCTTCAAGGGAGTTTGGGAATCAAATCCAAGGTGGAGATTGTTGGGATTTTGTCTTTGATTCTTTGTGTAACTTCATGAGAATTAGATAGGGTTAGAGTTCTATCAGGATTAGAGTTCTATCATGATTAGGAGTTTGGGTTCTATGATGATTAGGAGATCATGATTAGGAGTTTAGGTTTTATCATGATTAGGAGTTTGAATCCTATTCTAATTAGGAAGTTAGGCTAGAGATAGGGTTTTGGTTTCCCTATATATTCTTCTATTGGTGGAGGAAAAACCATGAAGAAAAAGTAGAGATGTAGTAGATGAGAGAGAGAGAGGGTTTTGTAGTCTTTATCCGTGCAAAAGATTACAAAGAGTGGGCTTTGGAGAGAATATGAGAGTTGATTACGTATGTGAGATTGAGAGATTGAGAGACGAGAGTTGAGTGGTTTTTCTTGTAGTTCTCCCTGATACATAGTGAATTTCTCGTATTGTTGCCCCGTGGACGTATGTCGAAGTTGGTCGACCGAACCACGTAAATCTCGGCGTTTTTTTTCTTGATTGTGGTTGTTCTATCTTATTGATTGGGGTTGGCTTCCGAGTTGCGCATATCGTGGTAGGCCGGGAGACTGAAATTCCACAACAGTTTCTTGGATGTAACTACTGATTAGTCAATGAGAAAAGTATCCTGAAATTTGTTTCAAATTCCTTCTTTATTAGGGATTAGATTGTGATGCTTATCCATTAGGTGGCATAGTCATTTCCAATCTGCATTGGGCTCCCCAGTTGCTGATCCTGGTTGTCTTTTTTGCCGTCTTTTAAATGTTGCTCCATTTTGAACTAACTATGAAATCTTTATTTGTGAGGAACAACTGATGTATTGTTCCGCATTAGGTTGATTTTTGTAGGCTGGATCAGTTGGATTGGATGAAAGAGGTACCTACTGCCTAGTTACAACTAATGTTAGAGAAATTGTTTAAATTAAGTTTCCCACCCCAAAAAAAAAATAAAAAAAACCCCCCAAAAAAGTAAAACAAAATAAAACCCCCTTTTTCCCTCTCTAGCAAAATGCTAATAAATTTGTGTACAAGAGCTCTTGAAAGTGTAACTCATAACATTGAATTGATACTTTGATATTTTACTCTTCCCTTGAAAGGAAATCTCTATCTTACATATGAAATGCCATAAGATGGTTGGATTAAGTCTAGATGAACCATATAAATCTCTTTCGCCAACATGAGGCCATGCAGTCCCATGCCCTCAGCAAAGTAGACCACGGTGGTAAACTCCCTCTTGTTGTATTGTTATAACTTGATATATGCAGAGTTGACACCTCTCTTTAGGCATGTGTAAACATAAATCTCTATCTTATTTTGTTGACACTTCTTGAGTGTTAGTTTAGGTTAATTGATTTATCATCTTTCAGCTGTCATATATTCCGACTTTAGATGTTCATGTGTATCGTTGTGGTTTGACAGTAAAAATACAAATTTCATACAGGACTCATATTTGTTGTCAGTTTGCTTAATTTAAGCTTTGTTTGCCAGGGTCGGCTGATGCAGATGACTATGATGGTTCCACCCACCTTCAACAAGGAACTCCAGTACTTGAACAAAGAGGACCGGCTGCTCCGCTGGCTTGTTATAAAGCACAGGAGCGACATAGTCTACGGGGTGGAGAAAATGAACGATGATGACGGATCAGATGATTTTAGAATGTTCCGAGACTATAAGAAGGTTGAGAGTGATGAGGATGATGATGAGGAAGAAGAGGACGATGGTGAGGTGGTGGTTGAATAGTTTCAAGAGAACGTACCCGCCTTTGTAGTTGAATTCTCTCTTGAAGCTAAGATCATTATAGCATAGACTTCATAGTTTTTGATGCAGCAAGAACCTATGTGGTCAAATAAGTAGACTATGAGCATTGGGGTTTTGAGTGTCTCCGTATTAGGTGTTCTTGTTTGCTGTGAACTGTTGTTCTACTTGTGTTGTATGCTATAGGTAGTCTTGTACCTAAATATCTTCTAATTCGAATCGATGGCTTTTTACACATGCTACAGGTTGCCTAATACATGTCTCAAATTGGTTTCAGATGAAGGGAAACTGTGACTGCAATGGTTGCCAAGTACCTCTCAGGTTTTACCTACAGGGTGTGAGAGACCCTTGTAGGAAAATTACTTGAAAAAGAAATCTTATAGAGGACCTGTTAAGAAAATCATATAGGGAGATAGAGGATGAGTAAATCTGACCGACCGTTACTAGGCAACATCACTATCGCTTATCACTGATAACAACTGCATTGATGGATAGTGAGATGTGCATCACGGTTCATACTAGGCTAGGTGTCTTCATCTCCTATCTCTCTATATGATTTTCTTTAGATGGCCCTCTTTTTTCCAAAATGTTTGGAATTGTTGGAGAACATATTTGTGTTAAAAATATCATATTCTGCTTACCTGGTACAAATCTTTGATGGTGTAAATGATGTAATGTAGTGCTGATTACGTCTGTACAAGAGTCTGCTCCGATGATTATTTAGTAGACGGTTCTGATTTGTTTTAGACCTAACCGGTGCTATTATCTTTGTAATTTGCATTTATTTCATTTGTCACTAGAAATGAATCATTATCAGTAAAAGACAGGCTCCGATTAAGGCAGCGGACTGTTTACTGTTTTCCTCATGATACAGGGTGAAAGAGCGGAAGAATGGGGCCTTGCATTTTAAGAAAGAAGCACTGAAGGCAAAGCACTCCTTTGCTTTTGCTATTTTGGATGTACGATAAAAAGTGCCACGAAAAGGTGAGTAGTGCGCCAGAAAAATACCAGCTTCGCGTGCTGTACAGTATATTCCTTGGTCTCCCACTACACGTTTGCTTTCTCTAAAGTTTGTTTCGGAGGAGGGCCAGGATGAAAGAACAGACAAAACTAGCTTCTACTGTCTGCATGTGAGCCTGAGCTGAAGAGGCAGACACAGGAAAGAACAAGGTCATCAGGCCGAGGCCAGAGGGGGAGTTGATCATTATATTGCACTCGGATGCACAAAGAAATCTACGGTTCAAGTGAGAGGCTGTGGTCCTTTGGAGACGCGAATTGATTGAGCAAACAAAATCCCCCGACGTTACTACTTGAATTAGTCGTGTCATTCGTAGGCAAGATTTTGGATTAGGGTCAGATAAAAACGGACAAATTTTTGAAAACACCCAAGTTTCAGATTTATATATCAAAATCGATCACTTTTGAAAAAAAAAAATCAGCGAAACCGACCCTTTTCAGATGAAAAGGATCGGTTTTGCTGCGGAAGAGTTTTTCGAACTACACGGGACTAGCAGTCCCGTGCATTTCGTTTTCTTTTCAAACTGCACTCAGCAGATAGTCAGCTGATCACCTACAGAGCCGGTTCTGAGGGTGTGCGAGGTGATCGACGGCACAGGGCCCCCTAAAATTGGGGGCCCCTAAAAAAATTTATCCAATCGCCTCTCCTCCTCCTCGTTCTGAGTCTAGCATCGATTGCTTGTTTACAGATCTAGGGTTTCTTCCCTCAGATCCGCTCCATTCACGATCTCCAATCCAGTTTCTATTTATTTTTTCACCTTTCTTCCTTCGGAGAATTTAATGGAGAGGATACTTAATGGAGAGGAAAAAGTATCCGATTAGGGCTGAGGATTACGAGCTTTACGAGTTGATTGGAGACGGAGGGAGCGCGATCGTGCATTGCGCTCGATGCGTTCCCTTTGATGAGATCGTGGCCATCAAGATTCTTGATTTCGAGAGTATCAGCGATCTGGTACGTTCAGTTGCACATAAAAAATTGATCTTTTTTGTTTATAAACCCAAAGTTTTACCCTGGTTTAGTCTTAAAACCATCCACTTGCGAAATCATTCATTGCACTTTGGCAACTTTTGTTCTTAAAAGTGCTTTTTTCTTCGGTGTAGTAAAAAACTGAATGGATTTTTTGACTGTTGTGAGCTTATTATTGAACCTAAATTTGAATTATCTTTATGGTTTGTGGAAATTAATTTTCAGTTCGGTTAGTTATTTTTGATGAAATTGGACTTCTGACCTTGTTAAGCTTGATTTGTTAGCCATTATTTCTTGATTTTGGAGAAGTGATTTCGTGCCATTAGGCATTAGTGTCATACAAGGAATTGCATCTCCAGATATTGAAATTTGTATACTTTTAATTGCTTGATGGGAAAATGATCATAAAATATGGTCTGAATACGTCATAGTGGTAAAATTATATTGTTAAAGACTATCCAGATGCAAAAAATCAAGTAACATGTTAATGTCTGATCGGTAACATTTTGTTCCCTAGCATTTTAGGGATTCAAATTGGAATTTATTGATTTTTTGTATATAGAGAATGATCTTGTGTTTACTTTTCGCACAGGGCCCCTAAAATCTCAGAACCGGCCCTGATCACCTATTGATAAAAAGTGAGGAGTAACATAATCTTTCATTTCAATTGGCATTATTTTCAAACACGAGAATGATTTTAGCTAATAAAACTTCTCAAAATTAGAAAAAAAAAACCAACCGAGAACCCTATTAGCTTTTTTTGGATCAAAGTGTTCTTCATCTCGACTTGAATAAATTCTGCTAAAACATCACGCTTAACTAGCTTTTTTCTAAGCATTTAGTTTAGAATTAGGACCATCTCATGTCAAAACAAAAACTATATATATTTCCGTTGAGATGCATCCTTTATAATCACAAATGAAGTGGCAAGATCCCTCAAGCTTCTCATCCTCACCGTAAGGCTACAAAATGTTTGTTAAGAAAAACCAATTTATAGTTGTCAGGGTCCCACCTTACTCAAGGCACTCGCATTGCTCCCCACATGGCTCGTGATCCTGAGCAGTTCTCGCATAAACAAAATCAACAAGAATTCATGAAACAGAGGAGATTATTCTTGATTTCTTCCCACGACTCTCTCCCTCAGGGAGCGGTAACCTGACCTCCATTGGACTCTTCTCCTTTGTTCTTACCCCCTCCTCAAATTTCCCCTGTTCTGTGGACTTTTTATACGGGGTCTCCTGAACACGAAAATTTTTAACAGCTACCCATTTCTTCTCTCTCTCTCTGTAGATCCAAGCCCACCATTAAAAATCTAATCTTGGAGGTCTATCCCTGGAATCCTAAGCGAAAAAAACATGGAGAACAGAGCTCTTGGGCTTCTCATTTTGTTACCATTTCTTCTCAATTTTTTTGGGACTTTGGCGGCTGAGGAGACCTGTTCAGGGACTGTGCCGATGAGAAGGAGACCAGAGACGATATCCATTACAGAATTTGGAGGGGTTGGAGATGGGAGGAGGCTTAATACTAGGGCCTTTAGAAACGCTGTGTACAGGATTCAGCACTTGAGGAAGAGAGGAGGAACAATGCTTTATGTCCCCCCTGGAGTTTGGCTCACTGGCAATTTCAATCTCACTAGCCACATGACTCTGTACTTGGCTAGAGGCGCCGTCATTAAAGCTACTAAGGTTGTTAGTTGTTACTTTCACTTAAAACAATGTGGGTAATTTAGAATTAGTTTTTTTTTTCCTATTGAACTTGCTGAAATGATAAGTATGGATACTGATGTTTAGTTCGAAAGCATAAGAACATGTGCTGGTGAGGGAAATTAGCCTAGATACTTCGTTGAATTTTGTAGGACACATGGAGCTGGCCTTTGATGGATCCTTTGCCATCTTATGGGAGAGGGAGGGAGCTACCAGGAGGGAGATACGCAAGTTTGATTCATGGCAACGGACTCCGAGATGTGATAATCACAGGTAATTAATTGGTTTTGAAATTTTTTTGTTTTATATATGATCATATTTTTTTGTTTTAAAAATAAAATCTTTCTAAGGAATTCCTCTGCATGTTGTTCTTTCCCCTCCCGTACATCTTAAGCGATTACTCTCAAACATTTTTGTTCGAATTGGCAGGCGACAAGGGTGTAATCGATGGACAGGGTGAAGTTTGGTGGAATATGTGGAGGCAGAGGTCTCTTCGATATACAAGACCGCATTTGTTAGAGTTCATGCATTCCTCTGATATCTTAATCTCTAACGTCGTCTTCAAGAATTCCCCATTTTGGAATATTCACCCCGTTTATTGCAAGTAAGTT